TCTTCCAAAGGTCCTGAGTTCAATTCCCAGCAACCACATGGTGGCTCACAACCATCTGTAATGAGATCTGGTGCCCTCTTCTGGCCTGCAGGCATACACGCAGACAGGATATTGTATACATAATAAATAAATAAATAAATAATAAATAAATAAATAAATAAAATATTAAAAAAAAAAAAGAAAGTCGCTGTAAGCATCATCTATAATGGTCACAGCCGAGACTAAACCACAGTAAAATTTAGAGTGCTGCCCAACTTGTACTTTTATTTTCCTTCTGAGGTAAGCTCTCATTATGTAGCTCTGACTGGCCTCGACTTCATAACTGTCTGCACTATCTCCCAAATGCTGGGACTAACGATGTGCAACAGCATACCCTGCTAACTGGATATCCACATTACAAGAAGCAGATCTGGCATAACAATGCCCTCAAAGTGAGGTCGGTGAGACGGCTCAGCAAGTAAAGGCATTGCTACATACGCACGACAATTTGAGTTCAGTCCTCAAAACCCACACAAAAAAAGAAGAACTAAAGGCATAGACTCCACACAGCCAGTATCTCTCCACACGTACAACATGCACATACTCACTCTAAACATTTAAAACATAAAACCAATCGCAGAGTTAAAATATAAAACTTCTAGACGTTATAGAAGAAAATATAGGTGAAGCTGGATTTGGTCATCACTTTTCAATACAATAACAAAGGCTCAAGTTCACAAAACAAAGGATTAATAAACTGGCCTACATTCAAATGAAAAACTTCTGCTTTGTAAAAAGAAACTGCCAGAGTCAGGTCTGGAGAGTTGGCTCAATTGGTACAAGAGCTTGAAAAAAACCAGACAATGTGAGTTCCAATCTCTGAAATTTATAAAAAAAAAACCCCAGATCTGGAAGCACTTATCTATAATCCCAGTGTTACTAAGAAAATAGAGGTCATGGCAGAGGAACTGACCAGAAGTTTCAGGGTAGTGGCAGAAATAAAAGACATTCTCCCTCAAAAGCTGTCCTTTGACCTCCACTTTGCAGCATACATGAACATGTACTCATATTTACAACCCCCCCCCACATATTTGGAGAGAGCAAAACTGCCAAGAGGGGGGAACTACAGTTTTTGAGAAAATATATATAAAATCTTATCAAATAAAATATAATCCAGGGCTAGAGAGCTGACTGAGCAGTAAAGAGCATTGGCTGCTCTTGTAGAGGACCCAGATTCAATTCACAGCTCCTGCAATGGTGGCTCATAATCATACATAATCCCAGTCTCGGGGGTATCCAATGCCCTCTTCTGGCATAAGTGGGCACCAAGTATACACATGACACAGAGACACACACTCAGACAAAACTTACATACCCATAAAATAAAAAAATAATTTTTTTTTGTTTTTTTTTTAAAAAAAGAGACTGCAATTCAAAATGAACAACAACAACAAAAAACCTCCAGGCAGCCAACTATAAATAAAAACAACAACAAAAATGGGCCAAGAACCAGGGCACACTTCTCACCAAATAACATATTCAAATGGAAAATAAGCATGCAGAAAGAGAAATGTAGAAAGCATGCAATCAGGAAAATACAAATTACAACAACAGTGACATACTGATATGCACCTATCAGAATGGCCAACACTAAGATGACTTAGATGACTGATAAATAAACACAAACTGATGATAAGGATATATAAAGCAACAGCAGCTGCCATTCACTGCAGCAGAGTAGCAACTTGTTACTAAATTTAACATACTCTCACCATAATCAAGTAGTCACACTCCTGTAAATTTACACAGACAACATATACCCACAGAAAAACACCAAGTTCGTATTTTCACTCATAATTGCTAAAACATGAAGTAACAAATGCATCTTTTAATTGGTGATGGTTATATGCAAATTATGTGCACATGCTCTATTTCGTTTTACAAGGAAATGTACCATATGGCACAAAAATACACAGAGAAATCTCTACACACATTACTAAATGGAAGATGACAACCTGGAGTCAGTGAGGTGTTTTGGTTGGAAAACATCCATCCACCAAGCTTGACTGCTTGATTTGATCCCTAAGACTCACATGGGTAGACATGGACATCCTGTAAGATGTCCTCTGATCTGTATAGAAATGTCATGACACCAGTGCAGGCGTGAATGCACACATTCAAAAAAAAATTTATTGTTTTCTTTGAGACAAGGTTTCTCTGTTTAACCAATCTAGCTGTTCTGGAATTTGTTCTGTAGAACAAGCTGGCCTCGAACTCAGAGAACCACCTGGCTCTGTCTCCCAAGGGCAAGGTTTAATGTTGTGAGCCACCATGCAATTTTTTATGCAATTTTTAAAAAGAATGCCCATTGATGCCAGGCAGTGGTGGTGCACACCTTTAATCTCAGCACTCAAGAGGCAGACACAAGTGGATCTCTGTGACTTTGGGTCAGTCAGTCCTACAGAGCTAATTCCAGGACAGCCAAGGCTGTTGCACAGAGAAAACCCTTTCTCAAAAATCAAAAAAATTAAAAATAAGTAAATAAAAACAACGCCCATTTGAAAAGATTCCAACTTTATGACAGTCTCGGAAAGGCAAAATTATGAAGACAGAAAAGATGAGAAGTTAGCCAGAAGACACTGTAGATGGAGTATGAGACTACTTAGTGGTATTGGGGAATATTATTTTAAGGTGTGTTACTTTTGTTTATGCTGCATTTGCTTAACTCTGTGAAGCTCTAATTAAAGAGCTGAATGGCCAACAGCAAGGTAGACAGGGCTGTTAGGAAAGAGTAAAAAGAGGAGCAAAAAGAAAACAAAGAGAGGAAGATGATATGGCCCAGCCACCCAAAAGTGTGTGTGTGTGTGTGTGTGTGTGTGTGAGAGAGAGAGAGAGAGAGAGAGAGAGAGAGAGAGAGAGAGAGAGAGAGAGAGAGAAAGGACATAGGTGAGTTCGAGGCCAGCCTGGTCTACCGAGCTAGTTCCAGGACAGGCTCCAAAGCCACAGAGAAACCCTGTCTCGAAAAACCAAAAAAAAAAAAAAAAAAAAAAGTAGTCAGGATAATTTAAGAAAAGCGGGCAAGAAATAAGCCAAGCTAAGGCCAGGCATTTCTAATTAACAATAAGCTTCTGTGTTTGATTTATTTGGGAGCTGGATGGTAGGCCCCCCCAAGAAGCCAAAAGAAGAAAACATCACACAACTTAGGGCAGTGAAAATATACTGTATGAAATACATGTGCATAAATGTCTTTGTAAATAATGTATCTGTCCCAACCTGTCCCAAAAAGCCAAGAACAAAAAGTATATAATCAAGAAAGCACAAAACAAACCCTGATGTGAGCAACTCTGTATGTACATAGGTCAAGAGTGGGAAGCAAATGGAAACACCATACTTTACATTCAATTGGAACCTAAAAGTGTTCTCCAAAACTTTATGCCTGACCAACTTCTACATACTGAGGATTTATACTATGGTCCTCGTGTTTATTATATTTCCTTATTACAGCTCCCAACATACTCCTCTTTCTACTTCATGGTTTTTGGTTTTGCTTTTGGTAATCCAAAAATCCAGTGATATTCTCATGTTCTCGTTCTCGTTCTCGTTCTCTCTCTCTCTCTCTCTCTCTCTCTCTCTCTCTCTCTCTCTCTCTCTCTCTCTCACTTTTTAAGACCGGGTCCCTCACTGAACCTGAAGCTTGTGCTGGCTAGACTGGATGGCCCCTTTACTGGTGTTATAAATTTGTAGGTGCTAGGGATCCAAACTCAGATCTCTATGCTTATACAGCATATATTAGTCACAGAACAATCTCCCAGCCCCTAAAAGACAAGTATATAGAGAGATATCTATTTAGAGATATTTTTATATCAATATAGATTTTTATTTTTTAATTTTGGTTTTCAATACAGGGCTTCTCTCTGTCCTAGATGTCCTGGAATTCACTTTGTAGACCAGATTGGCCTCAAACTCAGAGATGCACCTGCCTCTGCCTCCCTGTACTGGGATTAAAAGTCTGCACCACCATACCCAGGTAGGAAAGTATATTTCTGAAAATTCCTCAATCACACAGTCCAAGTGGTCCATGAGGGGTGGCTATTGCACTGTGTCCGACAGATTACAAACAAACACATCCACCCCTGAGGAAACTACTGCAGAGCACTAGGTTAAAAGGGAAAGAAGCAGCTGATGGTCTGAGAATAGCAATAAAGCACTGCCCTGCAGCAGTCAGAGATTACCTTTCCTCTTCCACCTGCTCTTTCTCCCCTCTTTGTTGCTGCCACCATCACTGCTGCTGCTGTTCTCAGAGCTCTGAGAATCTGACTGACCATCACTGCTTTCTTCTGAACCTTCTGACAGTTCTTTCACTCCATCTGGCACATCCTTCTGAAAATGTAGGCATCCTGTTAGGATTGTTACCATTTTAGCAAATCGAAACTAAATTTCTAATATATAAAGCATTAATTTAATTAACTGATAAATTCTTATTATAAAATAGTAAAAACCACCAATATTTGATGATATCCTGATTTTTGGGGTCAATTAAAATCAATTTTCCATCTACATTCAGAAGATAAAAATCATACACAACATTCGTATGCAGGCACAACATATGTTTTAATTACACCAAAACTGGTAGATATAAATCCAGGTAAAAGATGTAATGTTCAGGTTTAAAAAGCTAACAAGAATTTTGTTAAGACATATTTGGGTTTGTGTGTGTGGGTACCCCGTGTATTCTGAACTCAATTACAGAATTAAAGTCAGGAGAACAAGATTATCACATTATTTTCACCTAATTGGGTCCTCAATATTGTTTAAAGAGTTAACAGCAAGAAAAGGAGTTTTTGTTTCTTTGAGACAGGGTTTCTATTAGTCCTGGCTGTCCTGGAACTCACTTTGTAGACCAGGCTGGCCCCAAACTCACAGAGATCCGCCTGCCTCTGCCTCCTAAGTACTGGGATTAGAGGTGTGCACCAGCACCGCCCGACATGGGTTTTTTGTTGTTGTTGTTTTGGTTTTGAAGAATCACATCACTTTCTTTCATTTCCGTTTTGAATAATGAGAATGTTAACTAGAAAGGATAACTATGATCATTAAATATAAGAAAAACAGGGTAGTAGAATATGAGGGACTAAGGAAGTAGGACTTTCTGGCTTTGTCTTCTCCCAATTACACAGCCTTAGTCTAAAGTAATCTCTCATAGCTTAATTTCAGTTTCTAAGGTACCTACCTTAAATAGCCACATAAAAATTAAACAAACTAATTAATATTAAATGTTTACCATAGTGCTTTATGAGAACTCAATGTTATTTACTATGCATTTACATGGTACAAAAAGCATACACAAATAAATGAGTTAGTGAATGTTATTTCTCTTATGGATTTTCTTTCCACCAGTACTTCCGTTGTCCCACAAATTTATTTTCATACTCAATTAAAAAATGAACTGACAGACACAAAAAAATTTCCCTACATCTAACTGGCACCACATGACATATACCTAAAACCATTGAGTCAGACTGAGTAAAAACAATTGTTTTCCACTTAAATTTCTCTCTAATCCATCTCTTATGTTATACACTTTCTTAAAATACAGACCCCAAATTTTTATATTCCTTCTTTCAAAATGCAGGACAGCTTTTATAGAGTTAGTTGCCAGCCAGACATCTTGACCTGTAGATTCAACAAGTATCTGAAATACAAATATAATTATCTTCTTTTTGCAAAAATCTTGTGATCCCTTTGGGATCAACGGCTCATGCCCCAAATCTTAGAATCTTCTCTCACCCACTGCTTTACCCATACCAAATGTAAAGTGTTCTATGCCTCAAATCTCTCTTGGGTCTACCTATTTTACTGATCTGAATTCCTATTCCAAACTGTAATCTCCTTTTCATGAAAATCTTAAAACACAGATTTGTTGGTTCTCCCTGAAGACCTCAGCCATCTACTTAGTCAACACCCCACCCAAACAGAGTTCAGTCAAGGCGAAACTTTATTAACTAATGTTTATCAATTATCTTGACTCCAGTGACTATCACTTAATTCAATTTTCTCTACTTTTGAACGCATTCAGAATTTTATCTGTCCCTTCATTTGAGCTATTTATCCTTGAAGGCCTTCACTCCTCTTATATATGTTTAAGTCTAGTTTAAATCTTCCAAGTAAATAATATAAACTTTCTAGACCTCTTTATTCAAAACTTATCTTTTTTGCTTCATTATAATGGTAGAGCTTCACAGTATATTTTGTAAATATGAAATACTTTAATAAAGGTAAGCGATTAAAAAGATCAAGAACTATAAATTATTCATCTTAGTCTCAGTCATAGACTTGTCAATAGATATAACATACTTATTTGAATTCTTAATTTTTCTCTTTAACGATTTGTGAGAGTTTTTGCATGCATGCATATGTACACCATGTGTGTGCAGTGCCTATGGAGGCCAGAAAAGGAAATCAGGCTGGAAACTGAATCCTGTTCCTCAGTTGGCAAGAACTTTTTGTTGTTGTTTTTTGAGACAGGGTTTCTCTGTAGCTTTGGAGCCTGTCCTGGAACTTGCTCTGTAGACCAGGCTGGCCTCAAATTCACAGAGATGTGCCTGTCTCTGCCTCCCCAGTGCTGGGATTAAAGGCATGCACCATCACTACCCAGCCAGCAAGTACTCTTAACTGCTGTCTACAATTAACTCTGAGGTTTTGATAGAGTGCCAAAACCTTTGTACTTCCTGATCAATAGCAGGATTAGGAAACCTGACTGTTCTGTTTGACTCTAGTTCTGGAAACAGGGTACCTAAGTGAGTTAGCATCTCCTAAGTGATGACCCTTTGTCAGCTACTGAATAGCCTGCCTCAGAGTGGGGGCTGACTACTAAGAGAGACAATAATGTGATTAGAAAATTGGGACTTTTAGCCCAACTTCTCAAGGATGAAGGTTGAGTTGATGGCCAATTATAGAATCATGCACGCCCATATATCTTCCATAAAAACTCAGAAGACCAGGGCTTTGGATGAGATTGTATATGGCTAAAATCAACTTTGTACTTGGAGGCTGCTGGTATGCCAAGACAGATTCCATACTCAATGACCACACCTCACTTTATTACAATAAATGGAAAACTTAAAAAAAAATTCTCACTCTGGCATATTTTATAAGCAGTCCTAGAAAGTTAATCAATTCCAAGAAAAAGGAAATAGGAATATCAATTACAGTTGGTCATTCGGAGCTTAGGTCACAGCCAAAGACTTGTAACTAATAGCTGAAGTGAAGGACAACCTTTGGTACTGGGCTCTTTGCCTGATACAACAGCCAGACAATATAAAAACTGAGTTAAATTAAAAGCTGATTTCAGTTGGAGAACTGCTTGATAAGAAACCCCCAAACACCGGTATCAGAAGAACTGTACAAAGTCGTATGTAATAACAAAAAATACATTTTCAGGTTTTCTTCTCCTAGTATGCATTTAATAAATGCAATTAAAGCTGGGCGGTGGTGGTGGACGCCTTTAATCCCAGCACTTGGGAGGCAGAGGCAGGCGGACTCTGTGAGTTCGAGACCAGCCTGGTCTACAAGAGGTAGTTCCAGGACAGGCTCCAAAGCCACAGAGAAACCCTATCTTGAAAAACCAATAAATAAATAAATAAACAAACAAACAAATAAATAACAGGCTCCAAAGCCACAGAGAAACCCTATCTTAAAAACCAATAAATAAATAAACAAACAAACCAAAAAATAAATAATAAAAATGCAATTAAATCATGGAGTATCAAAAAAAAGGGGGGGGAGCTTCATTTGTAACTAAAGTCCCATAACACCCACAAGCTAAACACTACAGACAGTCAGAAGAAGTTAAGATTAAAAAGCAGAATGGGCCACAGAGAAACCCTGTCTTGGGGGAAAAAATAAAAAGCAGAATGGGTTGTGCTATATTGCAGATTGGCCTTTAGCTCACTTTAATAGCTCACTGAGGGTGATCAACAAATGGATCATTACTTTTGCCTTGGCCTCCTGAATACTATGACTAATAATCATATGCCACCACATCCAGCTGCTAGATGTATGTTTTTGTTTTGAGGCAGGATCTCACTATGCGTTCATAGGCTTACCTAGCTAGAGCTCAGATACACTATAACTGCCTTCTGAGTACTGGGACTAAAAGCATGCAAGGCCACGACACCCGGAAAACAATTCATTTGCTGTGTTTTTTTTTTTACCTTATTTAGCGTGTAACTATGAGCACCTGTGTGCCATAGCGCACACATGAAAGCTGGAGGACAATTTGTGTTTCTCCATTTCTATGTGCTCAGAGGAGCAAAAGCGGTTTGTCAGTGCCTTTACATGCGGAACCACCTCAGCACCCTACGTGAGATGTTCTTAATGTTAGTGAATTCCATACTACCTCTGAGCATCGTGATGACCTCAGAAATAAGAGGTAATGGGACAGAAGTAACTTCCTATGGATGTGTCACTTTGGGCATAATAGCCTGTCAAACATTCATTCTCGTTTGCTGATAAACTTCCTTTGAGAAACAAACCCTCTCCATAATCATCAGGCTGTCGCAAGCTTAACCACAACCTTACACCAAGGGTCATAATGATTCTATACATTCGTCAAGAGCCATTAATTCATGTCTGGTGTCACATGGGTTGGGCTAAACCAAGTGAGTCAAATTTGAGTAAGGTGCCTCTTGCTTTAGTCACTGCACTCTTGTCTCTCTAGACTTACAGTTTGTAGAATGGAGACGCAGAATGAATTCATATACGATGAGAAGAGGCTGAATGAGAATAAAGCTAAAAGAAAGAACAGAGACCAAGACCAGATGACATCTTTTGATCAGCTGGATCCAGCCTGGATTTCCCATGAATGTTTAGCTGCATGAGTTAATAAATTCTACAGCCTACTTACTAAAGCTCATTTAGGTTGGTTTTCCTACTCATAAGTGAAAGGATATTGATAAGAGGTCACCATTTCAGTGTACAAAATTAGTTACTAGTCAGCTAGTTATGAAAGGAGAAATGTAGGCCTTAAGTCTGATCAAAGTTTCTATTCTTGTTCTGATACAGTATGTCCAATATTGGTCAAGAAATTATCTCTTGAACTTTAGTTTTCCCCATTATGAAAAGGAATAATAACTATAACAATAAGCTTTGATGGGGAAGTCTATGAGTAAAGAATCTATCTATGGCCGGGCGATGGTGGCGCACACCTTTAATCCCAGCACTCGGGAAGCAGAGGCAGGCAGGCGGATCTCTGTGAGTTCGAGACCAGCCTGGTCTACAGAGCTAGTTCCAGGACAGGCTCCAAAGCCACAGAGAAACCCTGTCTCGAAAAAAACAAAAAATAAAAAAAATAAATAAAACAAGAAAGGGGGACTAAATAAAGGGCTCAGCAGTTAAGAGCACTGATTGCTGCTCTTCCAGAGGACCCAGGATCAATACCCAGTATCCACAAAGTATCTAACAACCACCTGTACTCAAGTTTCAGAGACTCTAACACTGCCTTCTGGCATCCATAAGTACTGCATGTATGTGGTACACAGACATACATGCAGGCAAGAAGCCAATACACATAAAATGTATCTTAAAAGAATTATTTTAAATCAAAATATATACAAAGGGTGCCTTCTTGATATTCATGAGACCTTGAGTTCAATTCCCAGAACATCTCCTCCCTCCCCCAAATTTATTTACTTATTTTTAGGGATGAAATATTATGTCTTCCTGGAAATAAGTTCCTCAAGAACAGAATTCGGTCTCTGTGACTCAATTATTATATATTGTCACTTACTATTTCTTGTCTTCCAAGCAACTTACCTTCAAAGTATACACTCCCATTCTACCTGGGACTTTATAGAAGATTCCCTCTTCACCTCGGGAGTTTGTGTGCAGCATTGCATTTAAGCATGCAAGAGGGGAAGTCCCGCTACAAAGCAAAGAAGGTAAAGAGCATAGTGATTAGTTTATCTCTGAAGAGTCTTTGTAATTCTGACTTAATTTTTTAATTGGCCAATATTCCTTTCTTTAAATATATTTTTATATAAAATAAAAATATCAATAAAGATTACCTGGGGGGAAATGAATGGAAAAGCCATTCTTGAGTATCTAAAGGGGGAAAAAGTCCTAAATCTAACAAATAAAAGTAAGAACACAAAATCCACATAGAGCAGTATCAAATTTATTTTGCAAACCTATTTAAACACAAAACTTTAGAAGTATACATGAAAGTGGAATATGCACACATGCACTCTTATGTGCTCACACTAGTGCACGCGCACAAACAGATTCAAATATTCATCCTCATATGCTGCTGCAGTAAACTAAAGCTGATTTATAAAACTATCATGGTTTCTTAAACTTCACAGGAGATCACTTTAAAATGTGCTTATAGACTTATTTTGCATGGATTAGGTTTCCCATTTTCTCAAATTTTAAGTACATAACTTATTATGCAGATGCAAGAATGTACTTTTTAGGTGGGGCATGATGGCACACAACTATAACTCCAGAATTTAGGAGACCAAGGAAAAAGGATCACAAGTTCAATGCCACTCTCTTACAAACTCCTACGGGGGAGGGAGGTTCATTTAATTAATTTACAAGTGTCATCAAAGCTTACTGTAGTCCCAAGAAACAAACAAACAAAACAAAAAAAACTGGCAATAAAATTCCCTAACAGGTACCCTTATCTTGGTTTGTCATTGCATTAAGTAAATGGGCCTAATACTGAAGAGATGATTTAGCAATTAAGAACACGGGCTGCTCTTCCAGAGGACCTGGGTTCAATTCCCAGCACCCACATGGCAGCTCACAGCTGTGTGTAACTCCAGTTCCAGTGGATCCAACATGCTCACACAGACACACATGCAAGCAAAACAACAATGTACATAAAATAAAGGTAAATAATTTTTTAAAAAAAAAGGAAGGGAGAGAGGGAAGGGGGGAGAAAGGGAAAAGAAAATAGGGCTAGAAAGAAGGAAGGAGGAAGGGAGGGAGGGAGGAAAAAAGAAAATAGGGCTAATGTTCTAAAGTCTAATGTTGAGAAACAAGAAGGGCAGACCTATGTCTGCCTGTCTGCCTTTAATCCCAGAACTTGGGGAGACAGGCAGGCGGAACCCTGAGTTCAAGCCAGCCTGGTCTATAGAGGGACACAGAGAAACCCTGTATTGAAAAACAAAACAAAAAACAAACAAATAAATGCTTATATTAAGAACAATATTAGCCGGGCGGTGGTGGGGGAGGCAGAGGCAGGTGGATCTCTGTGAGTTCGAGACCAGCCTGGTCTACAAGAGCTAGTTCCAGGACAGGCTCCAAAACCACAGAGAAACCCTATCTCGAAAAACCAAAAATAAATAAATAAATAAATAGATGGATGGATGGATGAATGAATGAATGATTGAAGAAAAAAAGAAAAGCAGATAGGGGGCTGGAGAGATGGCTCAGCAAAGAGCACTGGTTATTCTTCCAGAGGACCCAGATTCAATGCCAGGCACCCATGTGGGCAGCTCACAATTGTCTGTAACTCCACATCCATGGGGATCCCACACTCTCACACAAACATACCTGCATGTAAAATACCAATGCACATAAAATAAATCATTAAAAAAGAAAAGGGCAGAACCCTGGAGCTCACTGGCCAGTCAGTCTAACAGAAACTGAACTGGAACTGGGCCCTCTGCAAAAGTAGCAAGTGCTCTTGAATGCTGAACTTTGTCTCCAGACAGGCTTTGCTTTCTGTTTTTGTGACGGAGCTATGCAAGATGCGAATGTTGAAATTCTGAGTTTTTAAGTAGTCTGATCCAATCATTTAGTCAATTCCTGACATTTTCTATCAGATTCTTTCTCAGAGAAGTAACTTGGAGTTACAGTAAATCTTTGATTATATTAAATGGCTTTGACTTCAAGCCTCAAAAACAAATACTAATAGTAGTATCAGGCACGTGGGGTTAAGATCAGAGAAAGTTGGGCATGGTGGCACACATCTAATTTTGAGACAGAGCTTCGTAAGGCCCTGCTTTAAACAAAACAGACCAGAAGACATGAAACAGCCCAGCCAGTCACTCTGTCCTCAAAGACAACACCACCACGACCACCTGTAAAGTGTCTAACAGACCAAAATCAAAGAACCTGCCACAAGAGCACCACGATACATATATCACAATATTCACACATCATACACACAACTTAAAATTTAAATATTAATAAAGCTTTATCCAAAACCTGTTACTTAAAAATGAGTTATTACAAATGAACTTAACAGAGTACTAATTGAAGTTAAGAAGATTAATCTCAAGCTGTAAGCAAAATGACATGTCTATGACATGAAAACACAGATGTTTCTTCTCAAGACTTACATCAAAGTCATAACTGAAATTTAAAGGAAAAACACAACTATACTATAAAAAGGGGAATTGATATAACCAAGAGTTGTCTAAAGTGACGGACAAACAGAGGAAAAGTCAATTCAGTAAAGGATTCAGATTATGAATTTAAATCTGCTCTGCCTGGTTTAAAGTAATATCATTTGGGTAGACAATTTACCAATATTTTCTATCAGTCAAGCAAATATTTCCAATCTCATAAGCAATAGAAAGCACACACAGCTCTCTTATATTTTTATTAACATCCTAAATAGTACTTCACTGCTGTTAGACAAATGACAATTTTGATAAACCTTAATGCCAACAGTTTCTAAAATTATGGCCATGTAATAGTTACAAATTATAAAAATTAACAAACAACAAAAAAAATCTCTTTTAGTAACTAACATTTATATAATATCACTATTACTTCATTTCTAGACCAGATAGTTTTATAAAGTAAAATACATGCAGACAAAGGCACATTCAATAAATCTTGTAAAAGATTGCATTATAATTGCTTAATACTCATTTAGAATAAAATAATACTTCTTACCTTCTGCAGTTGGAATGCACCCCAAGAAAACAAGAGGAGGGAAAAAAAAAGGTTTTAATTTTTCTTTACAAGTAACAATAAGCTCCCCCAATTAAGTTATACCTTGATCTTCCAGCAATACTAACAACCCTCAAATTAATAACAATCCCCATTTTGCTACATAAAACATTAAATTTTTAAAAATGCATACGTTGGTTTTAAGGATCAATGTCTAAAATTGCACACTCAAATTCAGGTACATAAATTACTTTAGAAAACAAGTGAAAAACTTGAATTCCATGAAACAGTGTGATTATCAGGCTAACTTTGAGTTCAGCGTGAATTCTTTAACAGTGCTCTTTTTTTTTCTCCATGCATTTTTATTGCAAGGAGTCATCATAAAGCCATCAACTATGGGCCTCAGGGGTTATTTTCTTCTCTTTGATCTATTAAGAATTTGATGGAAATTTAAAAAGTAGGTAAGATTTTATTGTTGCTGCTGCTAGGTCTAGAGGCACAGACACAAGGTAATCTTAGAAAAACATGTTAGCAACTTAATACAAAATGTGCCTATGTACTTTTGGGTGTTGGTTCTTCTGTTGCACTCCTACCATGGGATCCAGAAGTCAAACAGAGATGTGTATAGCAAATGTTATAGGTAAAACCTTCAAGTCATCTTACAGGCAAAAAATGTTCTTCATTCTTTTCAAACTTATTTTTGTGTTTTATGTGCATTGGTGTTTTGCCATGGGTGTCAGGACCCCTGGAACTAGCTACAGACAGTTGTGAGCTGCCATGTGGGTGCTGGGAATTAAACCTGGGTCCCGTGGAAGAGCAGTCAATGCTCCTAACCACTGATCGACCATCTCTCTAGCCCAAAGTTCTTCATTCTTAAACTGGGGCAATTTAGCTTGATAAATATCCAAAAAAGATCCTTTCCTAAGATAATGGTTACTGCCATAAAGTTATGACTTATGAACTCTTTACTCCCTTTGTTATATATATTTTTGAATAAGAGGTAGGGGAAATCAGGTGGTCTGGATTGAGCAAAAATATTTAACGAATGGCATGAGATTATTTGATTCATTAATTAGCACTAATTCATAAATTAGTACTAATCTTTTAATAAAAAGATATTAATTAGCACTAATTCATAAATTAGTACTAATCTTTTAATAAAAAGATACCCACCAAGATATAATGCTTAATTCATTTTAACTTAATGATAGTTTTGAGCTATTTAGACCAACCCTAAAAGTGCCTACAACTTTGGTATAAACTAAAAAATAAACTTAATAGGCTAGAATTTAGACACTGTAAAAAAACAGAAAGCAAAGGGTAATAATCAGCAACTACCAATCTAATGCTATTATATGTATCATACAGTGAACGCTTACCATAAATAATATAACATATTAACAAGAAAGAAAAATAAAGACAGTAAGATAGACTGAAAACAACCAGAGCTAGTTATAGGATCCTTTAAAGTCTCAAAATTTGAGTCTTCATTTATAAAAAATGAGATATAAAATTCATTATCCTTTTCAATTGTTTTTTGTGACTATAATATTCTATAACTAAAATAATGTGACAGGGAAAGTTATAGGAGGGAAAAGGAATGCAACAGATATTATCTCTAGTTGTACAGTTAAGAGATATCACTATATTATAACTACTAGTAAATAAATTTTGTTGGTAAGGAATACATGTGTAAGCATGTCTAATACATCTCCTTACACTAAAAACTGCCAATTACTATGTATATAGGTAGTACTGTGCCTTCTTGCAGGTTGCTCTGAATGAAAAACCAATTATTTATAAATACTCGTAAACTTCTTCCAAAGGTGAAAAGGAAAAAAAAATTTAAACTTATCTAGAAACTAGGCAGTTGGCCACAATCTACAGAATAAAAAATTAAAATTGATGGTATATGAGAATTAGCAATAAATGGACTAGGTCTGAAAACAGCAAATTTGCAGGTAAGATAAATTCATGAAGAACCTGCTCATTTCCAAGTATGCTTCTACTCATAAATCAAAGATAAGAAGTATGCTAACAACAGTATTTCAGGAACAGCACTATTTTTCCTTTCTAAAAACTCTATTAGAGAGCCAGGTGTAGTGGCACAGGCTTTTAATCACAGCACTAAGGAGGCAGAGGCATGCAAATCTCTTAGTTCGAGACCAGTCTGGTTTAGAGTGAGTTACAGGATAGCCAGCAATACCCATCTCAGAAAAAGAAAGAGAAAGAAAGAGAACAAAGCAAACAACAATAATTCAATAATTAGAGGACATTAAGACGTCTAGGAAATTGTGTAATTCATAATAAAGAATAGAATAATTTTGTTTTAGTGGTGGCACATGCCTTTAATCCCAGCACTTAGGAGGCAGAAGCAAAGGGATCTCTGTGAATTCGAGGCCAGCCTGCTCTACAGAGTGAGTTCCAGAACAACCAGGACTATACACAGAAACCATGTATCCTAGGTATGTGCTGTGGGTTAGATTTCTGTTGCTATGATTTAAAAAAAAAATCAAAAAATTATTTAAAAAACGGGAGGACCTGGAGAGATGGTTCAGTGGTTAAAAGCACTGACTGCTCTTCCAGAGGACCTGGGTTCAATTTGGAACCAACATGGCAGCTCATGACTGTAAGTTTACCCTCACACAGACATCCATGCAGGTAAACCCCAACGCACATACAAAAAAAAAGAAAAAAGAAAAAAAGAGAAAATCACAAGGAGGAAGAGTGGGAAGGAGGAGAAGAGAAAGAAGAGGAGAAGAAAAGAAGGAGACCAAAAGCAACTTGAAAAGGAAAGTGTTTATTGGCATATATTTCTAAGCTGCAATCCAGAGATGCCAGTGCAGGAACTCAAAGAGAAACACTGCTTGCTGGCTTACTCACTGGCTCATTCTTTGAACATATTCAGCTACAATTTTTTTTTATTTATTTATTTATTTATTTATTTATTTATTTATTTATTTAGGATTTGTCTCTTCCCCACTGCTGCCTCCCATTTCCCTCCCCCTCCTCCAATCAAGTCCCCCTCCCTCATCAGCCCAAAGAGCAATCAGGGTTCCCTGGACCACCAAGGACCACCCACCTCCGTCCAGGTCTAGTAAGGTGAGCATCCAAACTGCCTAGGCTCCCACAAAACCAATAGGTGCAGTAGGATCAAAAACCCATTGCCATTGTTCTTGAGCTATGTTCAGCGAGACCGGTTTTAACCCAGGCTTTTTCAGACCCAGGTCAGCTGGCCTTGGTGAGTTCCCTTTAGAACATCCCCATTGTCTCAGTGTGTGGGTGCACCCCTCGTGGTCCTGAGTTCCTTGCTCGTGCTCTTTCTCCTGCTCCTCATTTGGACCTTGAGATTTCAGTCCGGTGCTGCAATGTGGGCCTCTGTCTCTGTCTCCTTTCATTGCCTGATGAAGGTTTATATTCAGGAGGATGCCTATATGTTTTTCTTTGGGTTCTCCTTCTTATTTACAATTCTTAGCTACAATTTTTATATGCTGCCCAGGACCACCTGTCTGTGAAACAGTGCTTCCCATAATGGGCTGAGCCTATTACATCAATTAATAATCACAACAATCCCCTTACACACATGACCTAACCAACCTAATCTAGGCAGGCAATTCCTGAACTGAGGCCTCTCCTTTAACATGACATTAAGCTAACCAGGATAATCCATAACTTAGAAATCTACATTTGCAACTTATATGAGTGCATTATCACAAAATGAAAAGACTTTTCCTTGAGTATACTGTAGGTCATGCAATATTTAACTTCTAATGTCCAAAATGGGTATTAGATACTAACCTTAAAAAGAAATTTAAAAGGAGTCTTTTAATACTATATATACTAGAGGGAAGTTCTGAACTTAAAGGATCAATGAATAAAAGAGATGTAAACAGATGAACTATTAAGACACCAGAAAGCAAAAGTAATGAAGTGTTGAATTTGATTTCTTGTATGAATATAAAAATATGGCTCTAGCATAAAGAAAATATGTAAACAAACCTAAGCATCTAAAAAGAAAGCAAAATAAGAGGCCTATGGAAGATTTTAATTAGAAATTATACTTTCTTAAATTGCTTTA